AATATTTTTTTAAAAAATTTAAAGATTCATCATATTTTTTGAATCATACCTTGTAATACAATGTGTATAAGTAACAAAATTTCCATTAAATTTTTTTTAACTTGGGCATGGTACACACCTGTAATCCCAGTACTCAGGAGGCTGAGGCAGGAGGATCTCTGTGTTTGAGGGCAGCCTGGGCTACATAGTAAGTTTAAACCCAGCCTTAACTACAAAACAAGACCCTGAATCCACCCCCCCACCCCCCACCCCCGCCAAGAGGCCAGGTTTGGTGGTGCACACAATCCCAGCACTCAGGAGGCTAAGCCAGGAGGATCACTGCAAGTTGTAGGCCAGCCTGTGCTACATAGTGAGTTCAAGGCCCGCCTGAACTACATAGCAAGATCCTGTCTCAAAACACACAAAAAATTCCTTTTTATTATAATATAGGTGTGCCCAACTCAAAAGGGCTGTGGATGTAGCTCACTGCTGCTTGGCTTCAATCCTCAGCACCATAAATAAAAATAATTGAGGTCTTAGTGTCAATTATCTATACTTTAAGAGAATTCATTAAAAATTAGACTTAAAGGGCAGGGGATTTAGCTCAGTGGTTCTGGCGCTTCCTGTGCAAGCGCACGTTCTGGACTTTAATCCCCGGTATCAAAGAATAAAAAAATTAGACTTAAAAAAGTAAGAGTGTTTTCTTCCATATTTGTAGATACAAACTTGATGTTCCTCCAAAGGCTCATGCGCTCATAGGTGGGGCTTTTCAGAAGTGGCTGGATCTAGGGCAGTGATGGTGAACCTTTTAGAGACTGAGTGCCCAAACTGCAACCCATACTCACTTATCTCGAAGCATGAACACAATTAAACCTGAATACTGAGGTTTTAATTTAGAAAAAAACTCATACATTAACGACTTTTGTCTTAAAAAAAAATAAGGGTGCCATAGGTTTGCCACCATTGATCCAGGGTGTGTGAATGTCGATTAAGGGTGTGTGTTGATTAAATTAGTACACTGGTTTATGCAGTTCTGGGTGTGGATAATGGGAAAGGCCATCCTGGGTGTAGGTGGCACCAACCAGGTGTTTATAGCCTGAATGAAATAAAAGGGAAAGGGATCACTGCTGCTGCTTGCTGCTTCCTGCCTGCCATGCCATGAACTGTTTCTCCTATGCAATGCCCCTCTGCCTTGCTGGATGGCCAACTATGGATGGAAACCTCTGCAAACCATGAGCTAAAATAAACCTTTCCTCCTTTAACTTGTGTAGGATATTTTGTCCGAGCAACAACAAAAGTACCTAGGACACAAACTTTGAAGGAGAAAAAGGGAATTTTGATTTGATAGAGGGGAAAAGAGGGCCAAATTTTTGAGATTCAGGCAAAAACTGAAGAGGAAGCAGAAGTCCACCAGAAAACACTGCCTGCTACAGCATTTTGCTTCAGCTCTGCTGACTCTCAGGCCCTTCTAAAAACCACAGTGTTTTAAGCTCCCAGAATCTAGCTTGGCAGTCTAGCAACATGGCTAGGCCACACGATGGGTGGCTTCTATGGGCTGGCTTGAGAAAGGACAACCAGGTACCTTTTAGAACACAGATTCCATTAAAGTTATTTTCCAAATTTCTAGATTCCAAGTTAACAAAAATTCTTCTGGAAGATAATCCATTAGTGGGTTGAAGCCTGCTAAATCTTGCCCTGTCAATAAGAAGTTCACTCAAAGTAATTCATTATAGACATATGCTAGTTTCCTATCTGGCTACTGAATACAGTATCACTTGCTACGTCAAAGTTTCGGTAGCCATTTCCTATGGGAGTCAGGTTGAAAGAGTTATGAACTATCTGTAGGATTAGATATAATGTAGTTATTATAAATATTATAAAGAAAATTTAATGCCCTAAAAATGCTGTTGACAGTAAAAGCAGGATATACAGAACTGCCTTATTTTTGTAAAAAATAATCACACCTATAAACCTATAGGTTAAGTACATCAGTACTTAAGGTACATATATAGAAAAAGACAGGAAATAGACATGAGAACTTCGGGAGTAGCAAGATTATAATTTTAGGTATGTTTTTATGCCTTCTTCAAATTTTTGGCAATAAAAAGAGAATTAGGAGGGAAATACATGAGCTAATAGACTTTAGTAACGAAGAGAAGTAGGAAGTCATTTTTCATTCCTCATATCTCATTAATTCAATCTATAGAGTAATAAAAATACTTACTCAGCCATGAGTTTTGCTATGCGGTGACAGTCATTCTTGTCATAAAACCAGATGCTGTATATTGATACTTGAAAAACAAAGGGAAAAGGAAAAGATGAAGGGAAATGAGGTTTCAACATTTATGTATATATAAATAATGTATCACCACAAAATATCATTGAATTTACCATCTAACCCTTAAATTGTTAACAATCCCTTCAAAGGAAAAAAAAAAAGACTCATCCCCCAAACCCTGTTTAGTAAAATCAGGACAAGTGAGATACTTAAATGAAAACTGCAAAAAATGATTGGTTTTAGACATTTTTACCAGATCTTATTGAACAAAGGACGGCATCATTATTTCTGTGCTATCAGGAAAGAAAGGCTGTCAACTAAAGTAAGATCCTATCAATATTGATTATAAGACATATACTAAATTTATATTAAAATGTGAGTCTTAATTACTGAAAACCAAGGTGACTGACTAACCCAAGGTCAGAATCAGTAAGTCTCTTGAATCTTTAAATACAGAATAAAAATTACAGTAAAAAAGAGTTTGAACAGGTCTACATCAGACCTTAAATCAACCATTCACATATGATATGGACTAGGCTCAGTTAATCACCCTTCTTTTTATTTTGAGACAGGATCTTGCTAAGTTGCCCAGATTGGGCTCGAATTTGCAATCCTCCTGGCCTCAGCCTCCTGAGTACTGGGTTACAGGTGTGCGCCATCACAGCTGGGTTCACTATGCTTTTTCTTTTTATACCACGCATTGAACTCAGGACCTTGTGCTTGCGAGGCAGGCAGCAGAACCACTGAGCTAAATCCCCAGCACCCTTTTTTTTTTTTTTTTAAATAAAATTTATTATGAAATAACTGTACCTTTACATACAATTATAAAAAATTGAGATTATCTGTGTCCTTTAAGCTGTACTCACCAAGAACATTTTATAAAACTATACTATAGTAGTACAGCTAGGATAGTTCAAAGCAAGTTTTTAATTTCAACAAAGTCTAAAATGTCAATCTTTCTTTTCATTGATCATGATTTATTTTATTGTGAAGGCTAAGAACTCTTAGCCTTACTTCCAAAGCTTTCTACATTTTTCCCTAAGGGTTCGTAGTTTTACATGTGAGTTGTAGATTTAGTCTGAGTTAATTTTTTGTTTAAAGCATGAAGTGTAGGTTAAGTTTTCTTTTGGTTTAAAATAGCAGCATTAGGGCCGGGGATTTAGCTCCAAGTGCAAGGTGCCGAGTTCAATGCCTGGTACCCCCTCCTCCAAATTGTGTCTAAAATAGCAGATTATTGGAAAAGACAGCCTCCTTCTATTATGGAATCTTGTATATCTTTGCAAATATTAGCAGGACATACTTGTGTGGGTCTGTTTCTGTATTCTTTATTCAGTCCCATTAATTTATATGCCTATCCCTCTGGCAGTATCACAGTCTCGATTACTGTAGTTATATAGTAGGCCTTAATATTGGGTAGAGTATTTCCTTGTACCTTATGTTTCAAGATTGTTTTAGCTTTTAGAGCCTGTACCTTTCCATGTAAATTTTAGAAGCTTATCTGCCTACAAAAAATCTTGCTTGGGTTTTGATAATGTTTTAAACCGACAAGTCAATTTGGGGAGAATTAACATTTTTACTATGTTAAGTCCTTAAAAGCACAAAGGCAATGTATCTCTCCATTTATGTCTTCTTTAATTTCTTTCATCAGTATTGTATAAGTTTTAGCACAAGTTTATACCTAAGTAATTTACTTTGGAGTGACTGTAAAAGGTATTGTTTTAAGATTTTGTTTTCTACATATTGTTTGTATGTAGAAATGCAATTGATTTTTGTGTGTTTATCTCATATCCTGAGACCTCACCAAACTCATTATTAGCTCTAGGAGTTTGTACAGACATTCATGTCATCTGAACAGGGTTAGCTTTATTTCTTCTCTTCCAATCTGTAGATATTTTATTCTTTTTCTTGACTCACTGCAGTGGCTGGAACTTTTGGTGAGATGCTGAATAGCAGTGGTGAGAATGGCTGTCTTTTGCTTATTCTTGATTTCAAAGGGAAAGTGTTCAGTCTTTCTCCATAATTAGAATGTCAGCTTTAAGTTGCTGTAGATGCTCTTTCTCAAGGTGAGACTGTTTGATTTTATGCCTAACTTGATAGTTTTTTAAAAATCATAAATAGGCCTTGAGTTCTGTCAAATGACTATTTGTGTCAAAAAATGATCACATGGTGTTTATTCTATTTTTTTTTCTTTAGTTTGTTGATCCAACTAATCCCTTTTGTACATATCTTCCCAAAAGAGTTAAAGACATATTACAGTTATACATGCACTCCCACGTTCATAGCAGCATAATTCGTAATAACTAAATCTTGGAACAGCCTATGTTATTTCACTTAATATAATGGACTCAAAGTCATGCTCACTTTGACATGTACTAATGGGCTCAGACACATTCGTTTTCCTACAAATGCCTCAAGTAAGTCTTTATGGTAGAGTAGTATCCGTTGTGTGTAAATACCACATTTTCCTTATCCATTCATCTGATGATGGACATATAGGCTGCTGCCAAGATTTAGCTACTGTGAATTATGCTGCTATGAACATGGGTATGCATGTATCATTGCACTATGATGTCTAACTCTTAAGGAGAGGTATAGTTAGGTCAAATGGAATTTCTAGCTTTAGTTTTTTGAGGTATCTCCCTACTGATTTCTTTTTGGCACCGGGGATCAAACTTGGGATCTTGAGGTTGAGAGGCAGGCGACGGAACCACTGAGCTAAATCCCTGGCCATCCCTACTGATTTTTATAGTGGAGTACCAGTTTATATTCCCACCAACAATGTAAAAGGGTTCCTTTTTTGCTCCAGCCTTGCCAGCATTTGTTATTATTTGATTTCTTGATGATGGCCATTTTTTTCTTGCATAAGATGGAATCTCAGTGTTCTTTTAATTTGCATTTCTCTAATGGCCAGCAATGTTCAACATTTCTTCATATAGTTATCGGCCATTTGTACTTACTTTTCTGTGAAGTGTCCACAGATTTTCAATGTTGAATTATTTTATTTGCCAATATTTGTTAGAGGATTTTTATACTTCTAAGCTCATAAAAGTTATTGATTTATAAGTTGTTTTTTGATACTACTTGGGGCAGAATTAAGGACTTCATATCTACTATGCAAGTGCACTATCAGGTGAGCTTTATTTTCAAAAAAAAATTTTTTTTTCAATTTTTTTTTCCTGAGACAGGCTCTTACTGAGTAGTCCAGGGTAGCCTTGAACTCACTATGCAGTCCAGGCTGGCCTCAAACCTGTGGCAATCTTCCTGCCCCAGCCTTCCAAGTGCTGGGATTACAAAAGTGGGCCACCAGTCTCAGGCTTAAAGTTTGAGACAGGGTCTCACTAAGTTGCTGAGGTTGGCTCTGAGCTTGCAACCTTCCTGCCTCAGCTTCCTGAGTTACTGGGATTACAAATATGCACTACTATGCATGGCTATATATTTTTTTTTTGTACTGTCTTTGCCTTGTTTTGGTATCAGGGTAATATTGGCCATATAAAAATAGCTGGGGGAAACAGTTGTGGTGGGAGCCCTGTGGTACCAGGACTCATAGGTTGAGACAGGAAGACTGCAAGTTCAAGTCCAGACTGGGAAACTTAAAACTTAGTGAGACTGCTAAAAACAGAAACAGAAACAAAAACAAAATTGAAAACAGGGCTGGGGATGTACCCCAGAGGGAAGCTAGGTTCAATTCCCCCTGCTGTAAAAACAAAAACAAAAGCAAAACAAACAGTTGAAAAGTTTTCTAGTTTTTGGAAGAAACTGTAAAACTAGGGTTCTTTTTTTCCCCCTGGGTACCAGGTATCAAACTCCAGACCTTGCACTTACCAGGTAGGCATGGTGCCACTGAGCTAAATCCCTGGCCCGATTCTTTTCAATTCTCGGGTAAAACTATCTGGGCCTGGAGATTTCGTCTTCAGAAACTTTCACTAAGTTACAAATTCAATTTATTTAATGTTTGTAGCACTATTCATATTATTATTTTTATCTTGGTTGAGTTCTACAATTTGTGCTTTTGAGAAATTGTTCCATATTTTCTAAGTTATCAAGTTTGTGAGTATAAAGTTGTTCAGGTCCTTATTAACTTTTTAATAGTTGCAGGATTTAGCTGGGCATGGTGGCACATGCCTGTAATCTCATCACTTGGGAGGCTGAGGCAGGAAGATCACCTCAAGTTCAAGTCTAGCCTGAACTATATAGTGAGATCCTGCCTCAAAAAACGAAACAAACCCCAAACAAACAAACAAAGAAACAAAGTTGCAGGACCTGAAATATCTCCTGGCTTGAGGTGAGGAGTGGGATTAAAAAAAACCCTATCTCGTTCCTGATACTGACAATTTGTGTCTTATTCATTTTTGTTAGTCTTGCTAATAGTTTATCAACTTCATTATCTTAAAAAAAAAAGTCTTTTGTTTCATTGAGTTTCTCCCCCCATCCCTGTCTCTCTCTTCTAGTACTGAGGATCGAATCCAGAATCTTCACACTGAGCTATATCCCCAGCCCTTTTAAAAATTTTTATATTTTGAGACAGGGTTTCACGAAGTCACTATGTTGCCCAGGCCGGGTTCGAACTTGTGATCCTTCTGACTCAGCCTCCCATTGTACTGGGGTTACAGGCATGTGCCACCATGCTTGTTTTTTAAAATTCAATTTTCAACGTCTTTGATTTATGCTTTTACTTTATTATTTCCCAGCTTCTGTTTGCTCTGAGTTAATTTTGCTCTGCTTTTCCTAATTTCTTTTTATTTTTATCTTCTTCGTACTGGGGATCGAACTCAGGATCTTGCACTTTCTAATTTCTTGAAGTGGAAAGTTAGTAGGTTCTCAGTCAGTGCTGCTTGGAGGAATCAGTGAAGTTTCCTATGGCTACTTGTTGCCACTAGGAAGCAAAGGGAGCTCTTGGACTTCATAGCTGAAATTTGTTTCCCAGGTCAGGCTGCTGTGATGTGATCCCCTTTTGTCATTTCTCCCCTGCCCACCTCACAGAAAGGAGGGAGAGCTGCTCCCTAGTGGCTACGG